ACTTGAGTTAAACTCCACTTCAACTTCAGCTCTTTTAAATGAACTTAGAGTTCATTTAATGCAACGCCTCCCTTAAGCTCTACTTGGAAGATATTGACTTGAAAAGTTCCATCTCTCTCTTGATCATCCCTAGCCGAGCTCACCAAGTATTGAACATGAGAAAGTAAAGCTTGTTGTAGCTTCTTGGCTCTTGATCTCGTTATGGGTCCTTGAGGCATGACAATGGTGCTTCCTTTGTTCACATCACCCGACCTCTCTCGTGTGGCCATCGTTGGCAGCCAGAGCTTTTCACTCTGCTGTGTTGGTTGAGTTTGCTGGTTGAACCATTTTTGCTTATGTTCCTTAGATCGTGATAACTAAATTGTCGGTTCCCACAGACGGCGCCAAATGTTTATGCAAAGAATTGCAGTACGCTGTTTAACGAATCAAGCTCGAACCCGATCCCCGACTTGACCTGAATACCAAGAGTAAACCTGCACAAGAGGGCAAACTCTCTAACGCTCAAGTCAGTTCTAGTCGGACTCAATATTAAGTTCGAGGTGAGATTCGATACCTGACTGTGAAATGAGGCCCTCTATTTATAGGTGGCGAGTCCGACAGTGCTCACGACCGGCGGTTACCTTTGTCTTTTTTTATGTCGAACCTGTCGGGTTTGAGCAGATTGAACCCGTCCAGGTCGAACGGGGGCTTTTTACACTTAGCCTTGTTTATGGGCAAACCCAGTCTCCTCGGCAGATTTGAGGTGGACCTGGGATACTTCTTTTATTTCCTGAACACCAATGAGCGTCCTCTACGTGTTCAGGGTATTTTTATCCCCAAACAGGTCAGTTGCTCATTATAAAGCCCGACTTGCAGCCAAGAGCTTCCATCAGACTATAGACATAAACTATACAAAACATTTAGTCCTGTTGTAAAACCTATAACAATACGGGTTTTACTTACTCTTGTCATTGCTTGCGGATGATCTATTCGACCAATTGATATCAACAATGCATTTTTGCATGGTCTTCTTAATGAAACAGTGCATATGGATCAACCTCCAGGATTTGTTGTGAATGGATCTGATAGACTTGTTTGCAAACTGAAAAAGGCACTCTATGGTCTTAAACAGGCTTAGCGTGCATGGTTTGAAAAGTTAAGCTGTTATCTCCATTCTTTCAGCTTTATGAATTCTAAGTCTGATCCCTCGTTGTTGATTCGTGTCTCTGGAGGTACTTATTGTTACATTCTTGTTTATGTTGATGATATTGTTATCACAGGAAGCTCCTCTTCTGATATTACACACATTATTTCTCTACTTCACGTGAAGTTCTGGCTTAAAGATCTTGGACAATTGAGTTTTTTTCTTGGCGTGGAGGTTTCTTATCCCTCCTCTGGTGGTTTCTCTCTCTCTCAAGAAAAATATATTAATGATATCTTGCATAAAGCCCGAATGTTTGAAGCCAAAGCTATTTCCAGTTCAATGGTCAGTGGTCCTCTAATATCCTCTCGACACGGTGACAAATTTATAGATGTACATCTTTACCGAAGCATCGTGGGAGCTTTACAGTATCTCACCTTAACGAGGCCTGAGATTGCTTTTTCTGTTAACAAGGCATGTCAATTTATGCATGCCCCTAATCATCTCCATTGGTAACTTGTCAAGCGAATTCTTAGATACTTGAAGGGTTCTTCCAACCATGGGTTTCACTTGTCCAAACCATCTAGTCTCCTTCTTAATGGCTGCGCCGATGCTGATTGGGCCTCTGACCCAGATGATCGAAAATCAACCTCGGGTTTCTGTATATTTCTGGGTGAAAATCCTATTGTTTGGAGATCTAAGAAACAGAGTGTTATCTTCCGATCCAGCACTGGGGCTGAATTTCGCGCTTTTAGCCGCAACAGAATTAACTTGGCTTTCTTCTCTGTTTCAGAAACTAAAATTTGCACTACAACAACCTCCTATTTTGTGGTGTGACAACTTGAGTGTTGTCCATCTTAGTGCCAATCCTGATCTTCACTCACGGGCGAAACATGTTGAAATTGACATATATTATCTTCGAGACCTAGTTCTTGCTAAACGTATCTTTGTTCGTCACCTGCCAGCCACGGCTCAAATTCCAGATATTTTAACCAAGCCTCTCTCTAGCGTTACATTTCATAGGCTTAAAACCAAGCTCAAGGTCTATTCTCCCACATCCGTTGGCTTGCAGGGGGTGTCAAGCTGACTCATTAATGAGTTGTTAATTTGTTAGAGTAATTAGTTAAATTGTTTTGATTCACTAAATCTCGACTTTTAGTTAGTCACTCAGTTCTCTCCTTCTATTAAAGGGCTAAATGCCTATAAATACTTGTATTTGGCGCACTCAATATCATAAGAGGAATTGTAACACCCCGCGTTCTTGGGTTAGTTTTATTATAAGATTGAATTTGTGCCTTTGGATTCTCCCCTAAGTGAATAATTTAATTTCTTGGATTTTCTAATTTTGGAGTTCTAATTTTAGGAAAAATTAGAATTAAGTTTAATTTCGTTAGATTAAGATAAATTAAGTTTTTCAATTTTTGAAAAAGATATTTAATTAAATCTTAATCCAAGGTTTTGGGAATTTAATTTTCACTTTTGGATTGTATTGTTGGATTTTGAAAGTTAATTATTTTTCCCAAATCCTTTGAAGAACGAGATTTCTTTTAGTAGAAAGGATTAGAATTTATTTTAAATTATTTTGTTTTGTTTATTTTTATTATGGGTTGACGTAGTTTTAAAGAAAATAAGAGTTTTAATTTTTCCATGGGCCCATTTTTTTTAATTTGGGTATTGGGATTAAATCAAATGGCAAAGGAAACAAAATAAGGATGGGAGAAGACAAGAAAGAGGAAAAACCCTAAAAGTAAACAATTGTTTTGTTTTTCTTTTTTCCTCCTTCACGTGAAATCCCTTCCCCCCTCTCAACCTTGTTCTTTCTTCTCTTTCTTTGCCCAGCTGCTAGCCTCCCCGACAAGATCTGATGAACGACAGCGCTCCTCCCGACAACACACTCCTGCAGACGACGGCGCAGCAAGAAACTCGGCGGGCAGCGACATTCTACTCTATTTCGCGGCAGTTCGAGGTGGGCGCGGCGGTCTGCTGTGTTGGGCGATGTCTCGAGGTTTCAGTGGCAGCCAACAACCCATTTCAACTTAGTCTGGGAGGCCCTCATGCCCTTGTGGCGATGATTACGGCTGTAAGGACATTTTTGATGCATTCTGCTGCTATAAAAAACGTAAATAGCTTGTTTTCTTCGTGTTTGGCGATTACCCATTTTCGTTTGAGGCCCAATTCACGCTACCCACACTTTTTCAAGCTAGATCTAAGGTACCCACACCTAAGCGAAGTTATTTTGTGGTAATGGACAGGACAACAAAGTCGTTGGAAGTTGTTTCGGCGCGTTCCTCTGTTGCAAAACATGGACAGCAGCAGCTTCGTGGTGTTTGACGCGTTCAAAGCCCGATTTACGTTACCCACCCTTGCTCGAGTTAGATATGAGTTATCCACACCTAAGCGAAGTCGTTTTGTATAACGGATAGCAAAACGAAGTCGTTGGAAGTTGTTTCGACGCGTTCCTCTGCTACAAAACGTGGACAACAGCAGTTTCGTGGTGTTTGGTGCTTACCCACACCCGTTCGAAGCTTGATTTACGTTACCCACCCTTACTCGAGTTAGATATGAGTTACCCACACTCAAACGAAGTCATTTTTGTGTAACGGACCATGCAAACTCTCCTTATAACTGATTTTTATGTCCGAAACTGTCTTCTTAACATGCTATTTTTTTTCTTTGAATGCCTAGGTATCGAATCAACTAAAGAATTAGGAACATTGGGAGTGGGTAAGTAGTTTCTTACTCAGGGGATTGTTTGTTGTGTGTTGCTATGAAAGAAATGTTTGTTTGTGCCTATGAATGTTGTTGCATGATTGCTTGTGGTTGGTACCACTTTATACATATTGGTTGTGTTCTGATTACTATGAAACTTTTTAGAGTGTTAGATGTGCTTCTGGATATATGTCAGCTACATTTCTTTTGTGAATTATATTCGCTGTGGCGTGTAAAACATGCTGAACGTTGAGAGAAAGGTGTTCTTGTGATGTTGGATGACCACATCTGAATGATAGTGGCATATGTTTAGTGTATAACGCATGTTGCATTGTTGTGAGATAAATTCTGCATGGGTCATGACTCAGAAGCATGTAGGACTGTGGTAGAGTTTCGGGATATCATGAATTGTGTGAATGAGTAACAGGGCCAGAGGGTTGGCACGTCACTAGTTGGGTATCGAGACTCCAAGTGCAAAGGTTAGGGATCGATACCCCAACTTGGTAGAGATAAGTGTCGAGACTCCAAGTACAAAGGTTGGGGGTCGGCACAATGATTCTAATTGTTGAATTAATATTGGGTCTTGATGTGGTGGCGGTCAAGGACCAATACGTTGAGTCATCGTCGATACCTTGGGGATAAATGTCAAGGGTCGATGCACATTTCAAGGCCTTCGGGATAAATGGCAAGGTCGAACGCCAAGCTTATGTAGATGAGTGTTGGGCTCTGAGGATAAATGGCAATGGTCGATATGATTCGAGGAGTTAGACTTGGAGGAATACCATAATGTGATGCACAGTTCAAGACCTTGGGGATAAATGGCAAGGTCGAACGCTAAGCTTCTGTAGATGAGTGCCAGACCTTGGTGATAAATGGCAACGATCGATACGATTCGAGAGTTAGACTTGGAGGACTAATATAATGTGATAGGTTAGAAGTTGCTTGGAGGCCAAGGCCAATACGTTGAGTAGTAGTTGAGGTCTTGGGGATAAATGTCAAGGTCCATCACCGAGCACCGTACAAAAGTGTATATGTCTTGGCTACGCGAGGTCAGAGTCGGTACGACTCGAAGGAGTAAGTCTTGGAGGAATCAAGAAAGAGAACAAGTGAGTTAAGATGTGAGGATGAGTTTGACATGTATGGTACTTGTTTAGTTAAACTTATGCATAAACTGTTTCTTGTAATATGTTTCTTTCATTTAAGGCTCGAGATTAATGATAAGCATCAGGTGTTGATTCTTTGTTATGCTTGACACGTTGTTTCCTTGATAAGCATGCTGTTTGAATCAATTAACATTGCGTTGTTAAGTCTCATTTTGAATAAGATAGCTATAGTTGTTTATTTGTAGCTCGAGTCTATTATAAGGTTAATAAATTGATTTGTTAAGTTCCTTATTTAAGGGATGTTTTAGAATTGACAGTTCGTTATTCTTGAGAACATTAATTTTATTTAGCTACTTGAATTGTGGTGATGTAGTCTATGGAAGATATTTATCAGTATAATACATTTGTTCAAGTTGAACCGGAGTTAGCTTTTACTTCGCAATTTGAGAAAGTTAGATTCGTGCAGTGGATGGTTTATAATTAGTGAAGATTTCATTGAGAAGTTTTCTAAGGTTAAATTGTTATTAAATTATTAACTGTGAAGAATTTGAGTTTCGTTTAGAACTTTAGTGTTGTTTGTTTTGTTTAGTGCAAGTTTTTGTAAGTGTCATAAATCGGAGTAGCGTAGTGGAAGCATGGTGAGAGTTTGTCATAGTTTGTATTTCAAGTGGTTTATTTCTCTAGTACGAGTGGGACTTTTTAGGTGGCTTTTAGTAATGGTCCTTGTTGGGATGTTGAAAATCCTAGGGCGTTACGCAAATACACTTTCTAAACTCGTCTTTCTCATCTTTTATTTTTTATTTATACAAACTTGTTAAATTGTTTTGATTCACTACATCTCTCTTGTTAGTTAGTCACTCATTTCTCTATTTCTGTTAAGGGGCTAAATGCCTATAAATACTTGTATTTAGTGCACTCAATTTATCATAAGAGAAATACACTTTCTTGACTCATCTTTCTCATCTTTTATTTTCTGTTTATACAAACTTGGTATATGAATCCAAAATGCTCAAACGAGCAACCGGTCCAAAAAATGAGATCCGACAATATCGATAAGCCAAAAGAACCACGATCTTGAGGGGGCATGTTAAGGATCCAACATTGAAAAGAGAGGGGACCTAACAATGATTTATAATAGATATGAGTTACTCCTCTAATTGCCAAATGGTTTTGAGATGGAACCCCATGAATATTGATATCAAAAGGGAACCACGTAGGATTGAGCATCAGTTGCGATCCTCCGTTCTCATTTCATTATCTCTTCCCCTCCCTGTTCATTTTGCTAAAGCATGTTCTTGCTCCCGCAACATTGGTCTAAAGTATTTTCTACCTTGAGGTCTTTTTATGTGATTTTAAATTACTTTACCTAGTTTTAGCTATACAACCATTGATTATTTTTATAAAAAAAAAAAAAAAACAACCATTGATTATTATTATAACTGAAAACAAAATTCCCCAATGGAAGTAACCTTCCATTTGGTAATTTTGGTTCTAAATAATAGTATATTTAGGCAACAACTTTCAATTTCATTAAAAGTCTCTCATTCAAATAAAGAATCTTGGTTCTCTCCATGTAACAATCACGCTATTACTATGAGCTTTAGTGGCCATCTGTGTAAGACTGTGTCCTTCCTCACCTTGCACTTTGTGTCTGATTTTTCGTTGGGACTGGTTCTTGTTTCTATATGTTTATTATATGTTTATTCTATATTCTAGCAAACGACCTCGCCTTGTTGAAAGGTTATCGGTATATTATTGACATACAGATATAAACTCAAAATGATCAAAAGAGGCTTTGGCAATCTTCTGTTTGTTCGGCAAAGTAAATAAAATAATAAAATAATTTTTTGTTTAGTTCAAAACTTACAAGTTTCTATTTTTCAATATTCAAATTGGAAAGTGTGAGAGTGATTAAAATGAGATTAAAACTATATTTAAATAATATTTAAATTGGGTATTACTTTATGTTTAAAAAATAACAATATGGTAAAATGACCCAATTAAGATTTAATTTATTTGAAGACCAAATTTATATTATATATAAAATGGGACATAGGGAGAAACTTTTCTTTCTATTTTGCCCCTTAAAGTTTTATTTATTATCACCACTATTAATTATCAATAACAATTAAATTATATTAATTCAATTTAAATAATAAAAGATAAGATGAAAAGTTTTGTCTCAACTTAAATTAATTATAACATTTAATTATATTTAATTTTTGGATATCTAAAGTTTTTGGAATTTCAATAGCTTTGGCACCACTTTCATTTTCCATACACACCTATAATTATGGCTCTTTTTGGATACTTTTTGCGTACAAGATTGGAGCTATATTTTTTCTATTTAGTCTTTTTTCTTTCTAGATATTTTTTGCGCTAAATCTCTCTTTTATACCCTCGAAATATTATCACCAATCAGTCATGAAAAGTTTATAACTTTTTCCTCTCTCATTCTTGTAGTTTCTTTTGACATTGTCAACATTTTCACTTTCAACCCAACTATTGCCATCAATAATAGCTTTACCAACGTCACAATGATCAACTAGCCTAAGTCGTGGTTCCATCAGCCACCCCCATCAAACGTTAACTTTCATGCTTTTATCTTTCTCAAATGTAGCATCTTTTTCATCTCTATACCGTCGTGTAGAAAATTTCAAGAGAATAATGTAACTTGTATCGGGAGTTGGTTCTACCGCCATTGAAAATATTGAGAAAAAAAAAAGTAAACAAAGATCTAAAAGATAATTTTTTTTCAACCCTTGTTTATTAAAGAAGAAAAATAAAAACATATTAGGATTGTTTTGTATGGTATTATTGTCCATTAAAAATGTGAGAAGAAAGGAGACTTTTCTTTTTATTCTAAAATTTATTCACTATTACTTTCATGACAATTTTATTCTTCAAATACAAATTTATCCCTCTCCTATATCTACATCTCGAAATGCTCCCTCTATTTCATCCACATTTCCGCTTTGTCTATTAATTTACTCTCAAATTAATTTCTAATGAGTTATTGAATCATAAAGAGAACGAGTTAATTATTGAGTAACAACACAGAGTTAATTATTTTTATTATTTAATAATACTAAAAGGCATAATACAAAAGTTTTGTCTTTACTTCTATAAATTAATTAAAAACTCATATTTATTTTAATAATAATATTTTAAAAGTTTTAATCATTTTTTATTATTTAATAATGCGAAGAGTTATAATATATAAAGATTTATCTCTTTGTTTGTACCAATTAATTCCAAAAAATTATGATTTATTTTTAATTATAATTATTGAAGAAAACCACAAAGTTTTGCGACTCTTTCATCTACAACTATATAAAGATCTTTCTTACTCTTTCCCTCCTTTAAAATAAAATAATGTTAACAATTTAGTTTTTAACTATCTAATTAATTTTTATGCCTTTTAAACTTTAAAATAAAACTATGAAATTTAAGGTGCATATCACGTGCTTCTTATCAGACTTGTTTAAAAGTATGTAAAAGTAATAACAGCGCTTCTTCTTTAATTACATATCGTTAAGGGAGAAAAATCTAAGTTTCTACCTTTGTACCCTCTCACTCTTACCTATGACGAGTGTTCATGTCAAAATCCGCCTCAGTCTCGAGGTGCGACCTATTAGGTCGATGCGAGCGTTCGAGAGCGAGCTTCTTCGAGGTATCTACAAGGATAGGCAAACCACTCTGACACTTAAGTCAGTACGGTATCCGAGCTTAAATAGATTAGCTTCAGACAGATTTCATACTTGGATTGGAGGATGTGTGGTGTATTTATAATGGTCAAGGGGGTAGATACCTGTCTCATCACGGTATTCCC